CTTATGTAAGATGGTCGGCCACTTGCATACACTAGCAAGGCGTTGTCTCCCTCCCATCAAAAAATGTCAATATATGATAAGAAGATACTCGCCATTGTGCACACAATAACGAGGTGGAGACCCTACCTGATCGGCCGATAATTTCAAATTAAAACTGACCATAGAAGCCTCAAGTACTTTTTAGAGTAGAAGATATCATCCCCTAAGTAGAAAAAATGGGTAACCAAACTTTTAGGATTTGATTATGAAATTATTTACAAAAAGGGGAAAGAAAACGTTGTTGTAAATGTACTCTCATGGCTACTTAAGTAAGCTAAATTTTTAGCCATCTTGCTTCCTACCACTGGCTTCCTTAAGGACATTAGGGAGGAATGAAAGAAGGATCAAGAGGTCAGCAACATCATAAAAAAATTGGAGGATCCAAGCGCAATAGCCCACTACACTTAGGATTCGAGGGATCTATGCTGCAAAGGTCGTATTGTGCTTATACCTGACTCCTCTTGCATCAAAATCATCCTACATGAAATACAGTCTATACCTTTAGCAGGGCACTCTGGATTTCTAAGTACCTATAAAAGAGTAAAGCAAAATTTTATTGGAGAGGGATAAAAAAAGTTATTTCTGAATATGTGGCACAATGTGATGTATGTCAACAGCAAAAGGGTGAAACAATGGCGAGTCCAGGGAAGCTACAACCACTACCCATACTGGACTCAGTGTGGACTAACGTCTCCATGGACTTCATCGAAGGGCTGCCACCTTCCAAATGTAAAAGCACAATCCTCGTGGTGGTTGATCGACTTATGAAATATGCTCATTTTTATGTTGTGTGAAATCTCTACACCGCTGCTAGTATTACTTAGATTTTTATAGAAAATATTATTAAATTATATGGGATGCCAAGGTCTATTGTAAGTGACCATGACAGGATCTTCACTAGTAAATTTTGGACCGAGTTATTTCAGTTACAAGGCACTAAACTCAAGATGAGCACGACATATCATCCATAAACTGATGGCCAAACATAGGTGATAAACAGATGTTTAGAGACATACCTTCGGTGTTTCGCCAGTGACTGGCCAAAAGAGTGGCCGAAATGGCTTCCCTAGGCTGAATGGTGGTATAATACTACATATCATTCATCTACAAAATGTGCCCCAAATGAAGCATTATATGGTCGGTCGGCTCCTATGATTCCAAAGTATATAATTGGCTCAGACAAGGTAGATCAGGTCGACCAAGATTTAATTGATAGAGACAAACTCCTACAACTGCTAAAGGATAATCTCTCTACCGCTCAAGCAAGAATGAAGCAGCAAGCCAACACACGACAAAGCGAAAGAGTCCAGTAGAAGATTGGGTTTATCTTTGCCTACAGCCATACAAGTAACTCTCCATCAACACATGAGCCTCCATGAAGCTATCCCCACGTTTTTATGGGCCCTATCAGATCATAGAGCATATTAGAGCTATGGCGTACAAACTTAAATTACTTAAGGATGCCAAAATTTACCTTGTCTTTCACATGTTATGCTTGAAGCCCAAGTTGGGAGAACATGAGTCACCCCAGATCTAACTACCCAATACCACTGATGATGAAGATATTCATGCCTGAAGCCCAAGTTGGGAGAATATAAGTCACCCCAGATCTAACTACCCAATACCACTGATGATGGAGATATTCAAGCCCAACCAAAAGCCATCCTCGACCATAGAATCGTGATGCATCACCAATATCCCTCTACTGAAGTACTAGTGCATTGGAATAATTTACCATTCAAAGACGCCATATGAAAATCATATGAGGAGCTGAAGACCCGGTTCCCTGAGTTCATGGAATATCAACCTAGAGAACAAGGCTGATTTGGAGAGGGCGGGCTTGATAGGACCCTAGCAAGGTTGGGTCTTACTCAACTAAGAAGCAGCTAATAAAAAACCTGTGAGATTGTAATAAACCCCACCTAGCCGCCTCTATCCTATAAAGAAGAGTGGCTACGGTTTATATTTGAGCCTTTAGGCTTCCTAGTCGTCGTCCCACTCTTTTACTGGGCCAGTCGACTAGGGTTGAGGGCAAAAGGGGTAACTCACTTAGGAAGCAGCCTCTAAGGCTAGGGTTTGGAGCCCTATATAAGCATGTAGCCTTTATCTCTTTGAGAAGAAGATCTATCTACAATTGTAGCCATATGGCCAACTTCTAGGAGGGTGAAACTCCTATAGCATTCCAAGGTTTGATCTCCCTCAAAGATCAATCTACATAGAATTCCTTTGAGACTCTATCAGATATAAATACCCCCTCTCATGCTTCCTTGTAAGAGTATGAGAAGTTTATGATTTTAAAGTGTTGTAAACTCTTGAAAAGTGTCGAAAAGTCAGGGATTTAAATTTTTGGCTCTATTTCTAAAGTCATTTTGGGCCTATAAATATCTCTCTAATGCTTGCTTGCAAGAGTATAAAAAGCTTGTGGATTTAAAGTGTTATAAACTCTTGAAAAGTGTTGAGTCTCTTTCTCCTTGAGTCTAAAATGTATTCTAAGGGAGGTAAGAGTTCTTTTGTAAAAGAGGGGTGTAAGGGTTCTCTCCTAAATCTATAAAAATGAGAAAGAGTTATAATAAGGATAGTTGATCTTTGTCCATTGAAAGATATTCGGTAGTGAAAGCCGATGATTTTAAAGGAAGAGGAATCGGGAGTGGACATAGGTCTGGATGATCGAAGCATTATAAATCAGTTTATATTTCTTCTTTTGCCTTGATTTACTATTATACTAAATTGGGCATCAAAGGGATTAAGTCAAGAAATCTCTTTCGATCTCGATCTTTGTATAGGTGATGTCTCGGGAGTTTGATATTTTGAAGGCACCTCAGATAATTCTATATGCACAAGTCTATATCATATTAAATTGATTAAGACATTAAAGATATATTTATTATAATTATTACTTATTATATAAGAAAAAAAAAAGATTCCAAACAAAAGACAAAATAATTGGCACCAGAATCCTGCCTGCCTTTGTCATGCAACTATTGTAGGCATATAGAAACCGGAAGTGGGGTGAGAAGAGGGAAGGAGAACCACATTATCTTGCACAGGACCCTGTCTGCAAGTGTCTGCAGAGTGGTCCTCGATACTTCTACCCGACTTGAATCGGCCAATGGCCCAGGTTTTAAAACCAGCACAGGGTGAAGAGGACACATAGTACTGGCCAAACCTGTGATTTGTTCTGGTCTTGGAGCGAGTTTGCAGCCATCATTACCTGGCCTTGAATGACCTGCTGTTGCCATGGTAGAGAAGGAAGAGAACTGTGTGTGAGAGAGACAGAGACCTTGCAGCCATTTAAGGGAAAGGGAGGGGACGAAATGAGTGTTAACCTTGAGAATAAGTGTAGTTCAAGGCTCAGTGCATCTGAGCAGCACAGTGCCTGAAACATAAGCAGCTTGAGGACCACTTCATATGCTAGTGGAGATCGGAGTACTCACTGTTCCTCGAAACATTGCCTAGTACCCATTATTCATCGTCCTCGTTCTACATGGTAGTATTGTTTTGCTCTCTTTTGCTTTCATGGTGTGCTTTTTTCTCCTCTCCCGTGTGGTCCATAAGGCAGCGGCTGACACAAAATGCTGGGACTCCCTCGCATGCCAAAAGACAATTGGCACATGTAGAAGTTGCAGGACTCTGCTAACAAAGGGAAAAACGTCCCAGAAAGAGCTCTAAAGGTCCAGAAGACCTTTTTATATATACCAGAAGATCCGATGAGGTCATGGAGAACTCAAAGATGGAGCGGTTGAAGATTTGAATCAAAAAGGGTTTGTTGATGAACTTTACAGTATAAATTAGTTCTGAGATAAGGAATAGCCAAGCTGGGTATGTAGATATATGTCAACTAAACTAATCCCTTTTGCATCATGATTCTAAAAGAAGCATTACGTTAACCTTTTCATTTCAATTAAATGGTCTCCATCAGACTCTTGGATTCTCACTTGAGTTTTGTGAGCTCCAAATCACTTCAACGCAGTTATATCTGTGCATGTTGAAACCGACACAAAATCACGATATCACAAGAACAACATTTTATCTCAAATTAATCCACCTGCAGTGGCGATGAAAATTTATAGGATTTTCTAACTGATTTTAGAAACTATATTTTGATGTTTAAATCTATTAAAATAATTAAGATTAACATACATGTGATTGGACACCGATCAATCCAAGAGTTTGGGCTTGTTAAGTTATTGATTCCTTGGTCCTACATCAATCTTCATCTCTCGTACATCAATTTTATCTTGACCAAATCAATAGCTGGTTGGCACCTCTTTTGACATCATTTACTCGTTTCTTACACGTTGGTGTTGCTTCGGTAACATGTTCGGTATAAGAAGCTGTCAAGCACTTCATTCGAGATTGACTGGTACTATTGATACGTAATTGTTGTTTATGATTATTTTGAAATTGAAAGAAAAATATAAGCTACTCTATGCAAATAAGTCAATGGAGCGCACGACAATTTGTGTATCAACGTGATCTTGTTCACGCTACATGCAAAAAAAATAACTGATTGTAGCGAATGGCCAAGAATCTATTGGTGTCTTATGTACCTTTTTGACAAGCATTTTGAGAGGCATGACATGATCAAACTCCATACATGTGTATGGATCGACCAGTAATTTATTAAGTCCAAGCTGTCTGCATTTGACCAATAGATGTTTCTTTATCATTAGGACTACAGATATGATTATTGGTAATAAAGAAATATGGCATATGCAATATACAATTATTATGAACAGATAATAAGATCCTCGGCAAGAAAGAACTTTTTATTTGAAGTTAATCAATAGAATTTTGGCATGAAATCTTTGAGGTTTGAATGAAAATATACATGGCATTACACCAGATTCTGTAGTTGGATTCTGATACAGTCATGTACAGATGTTTAGTCTCATATGCCTAAACAAAAAGAAAAAGCAAAAACATACACGCATGATGGTTATTCCTTGCTCTTTATAATTTCCAACAAGTGTGATGGAAGACGTGCACCAGAGAATGCCGGGCCATGTTGATCACCTCTACCACCACCATCACCAGCAGCAGTAAAGCTCAGGAAGAATGCCCTTAGAGGGCATGGTCTACACTCATGTGAATCCTTGCTTTCCCCATCCACTTGCATCAATGCCAGGTCTCAAACACATGTCCAACTTGCACCACCCACACACTCTTCCAAATAGGGAGGCAGCAAAGAAAGTTCCACACCCCTCCTTCCCATGAATCTTCTTCCACCATAATTTTAAGTTGACCCACACCAACGCCACACCCATTCCATGAGATCTATCATATGCTACCTATCTAATAATTTAGTGTGTGTTTCAATCACTCTTCTATGTCTTCTTTCCCAATATCTTCCCTTTCCTCTTAAGCCTTCGTTCATATTTCTGGTATAACTTCTAGCTCAGACAAACTATGGAGACTAGCAGCTTGGAGGATGGTTGCAGCGAAGCCGAGAAGCAGTCTCCTCCGCAGTGGCCACAGCCGCCACCAGCTCCCGTGGGCTTACAGCGACTCGGTAGTGGCACAAGCGTCGTCCTCGATCTGGAGGTCGGCGTCGAGGCTGAATCACGGAAGCTGCCGTCGTCCCGGTACAAAGGCGTCGTGCCGCAGCCCAACGGCCGGTGGGGGGCGCAGATCTACGAGAAGCACCAGCGAGTCTGGCTAGGCACCTTCAACGAGGAAGACGAGGCCGCGCGGGCCTACGACGTAGCCGTACAGCGGTTCCGCGGGCGTGACGCGATCACCAACTTCAAGCCGCTCGTTGAGGTCGACGTCAACGATGCGGCGGAGGAGCTCTCGTTCTTGAACTCGCATTCCAAGGCCGAGATCGTCGACATGATCCGGAAACACACCTACCAGGACGAGCTGCACCAAAGCAGCCGATCCGCCCGCGCCGACAGGAGGCATAATCCTCCCCATGGAGCGACCGAGGAGTGGCGTAGTGGGCCGCATAGGGAGCATCTCTTCGACAAGGCCGTGACTCCCAGCGACGTCGGAAAGCTGAACAGGCTGGTGATACCGAAGCAGCACGCCGAGAAGCATTTCCCGCTGCAGCAGGCCGGCGCTGCCGCCTTCAAGGGGGTGTTGTTGAGCTTCGAGGACGCCTGCGGGAAGTTGTGGCGGTTTCGGTACTCTTACTGGAGCAGTAGCCAGAGTTACGTGCTAACCAAGGGCTGGAGCCGGTTTGTGAAGGAGAAAGGGCTCCGAGCCGGCGACGTAATCACCATCCAGCGATCGACCGCCCCCGAGAAGCTGCTCTTCATCGATCGGAAGACACGAGCTCTCGGCAGACACGCCGCTGCAGGGGTTCAGGCGCCGAGACTCCCCGTTCAGGTTGTGAGGCTCTTCGGGGTGGACATTGTTAAGATTCCGGTGGCGGTCGCCAGTGATGTGACGGAGGGTAATGGCGTTGACTGGAACGGGAAGAGGATGAGGGATATGGAGTTGATATCATCAAGGGAGCTGTTGAGGAAACAATGCATATAAGGTTTATAGTGTTGGCGTTTTTGTTTCAGACGATTGATGGATCATCTGTTCCCCAATCTCTCAATCTTTCATGTACATGTTCGAGTGTTAATAATCGTTGAGATATGGAGAGAAGTTGAATGTTTTAGCAAAACGATTGGAACATTAGCTGCAAAGGGAAACATATCTGTTGCTTCTTTAATTGTTCGACTTACGTTTCTCTCAAAGACAAGTTTATATCAATCTTACATGCTTTTGCCATGAATCAAACCATCATATCAGAGGAATTAATAGAGGAGGTTCGGCTTTGTCGATGTGCTGCGTGTTCGTTGCCGTCGGAGGTGGATGAATCAAAGGCCAAAGTCATCATGTCATGCTGAACGTGAACCTGCATTAAGTGCACGTTTGTGGCCACAACCGACCAGCAAGCAATCGTAGACTAGACACAGTGTTGGGCTCTAATATTACTGCGGTAACGTAAGCTATATTGGACTTGGAAAAGTCCAATATTACTGCCATAACATAAGCGACGTAGTGGGCATGAAGTCCATACCTCAACTTGCTCATTAAAAGATAAAGGTCAAGAAAGTAGGTGTTTGCGAATGCCAACTCAGAAAAAGACAACTCTATGTCAGCAGTTCTATCTGAATGATGCGAAAGCGTGGTCAAATATGTGTGAGAAGGATCAAGTTCAACAAACCCCATCTTGTTGAACTGCTCTCTCTCTCTCTCTCTCTATATATATATTCTTGAGTATAAATAGGGTACATCGATGTTGATGTGAAGTCTTTCCTTATAAGATCCTGACAATTCTCAAGTTGGTGCATCTCCTCTTGGCTCCACTTGATATAATCTTATGTTAGGAACGGGGGTTGGCACTAAGGGGGGGATGAATTAGTGCAGCGGTAAAATCGTTGGTTTCGTGAAATCTTCGTACGTTGAAAATCGATCTCGGAAAGTGTTTAACTTTAAAATGTTTGTAAGAATATAATGAGCAAGTGAAGTAATTAAATCAGTATGCAATACGAAAATTAAAAGCAGAATAAGAATGCAAACCGATTTATATTAGTTCGGTTATCGTGACCTATATCCACTCCGTCGATTCCTCTTCCGTCAAGGCCACCAGCATTCACTATCGATCTTCCTTTAATAGGCAAAGATCAACCTCCTTTTTACACCCCTCTTCTCCTTTTATCGGGTTTAGGAGATAACCCTTATAAGCACTCACTCCTCTTTTACAGAATTCTAAACTTAGAGTGGAGGAGGGAATTTCTAAAGAAATTGCAGTAGCGTTTCTTCACTTTTAAACTCTATGTGCTTTGTTTTTTAACCAAGGATGAGAGGGGTATTTATAAGCTTCAAGTTGATTCAAACTTAGATCCTAAAAACATCTCATCTCGGGTTTTCCGAGCATAGGCGGTACCATCGCCTGCACTAGGCGATACCACGCCTAGTGTCAGTTTGACACTAGGCAGTACCACAGCCCAGCCTGGGCGGTACCACCGCCTAGGAGGCTGTGCTGGGTGGTACCACTGCCTGGCACCCTGCCAGGAGCGGTACAACCGCCCAAACTAGCAGTACCACTGCCTGACATAGTCTTAAAGATTATGCCACGACGGTGAGACTTCTTGGGGCACTGTTTGGGCCTCTCATTAGGCCCAACACAGTCCTTACATGGGCCTAGCTGGCCCCTAATTGGGTTGGACCCTAATTACGTGCTAACTACGATTCCTAAGACATTTGCTAAGCTAAATAAGTCCCTATGTCTTGGTTTCTTCCGACGATTTTTCGGCAATGTTCCGGCGGACTCCCGGCAAGCTCCTAGACTTCACGATGATCTTCTTTGCAAGTTCCGATGAGCTTCTCTGGCAAGCTTTGAGACTTCTTGGCTGGTTCCGACAGAACTTCCGACGAACGTCCAGACTTCCAACGAACTCTCGAACTCTCAACGAAATCGCGTCCTTGACTTTGGGACTTCATTTTGCTTCATGCCATACTATCGTAGTTAATCATGCACATGTAAAACGTACTTTAATCTAGACAATTAATGCTAAGCATTCATCATGTTGTCCGACATGTCATTGGTCCCTCGACGCTTCGTCCAATTCTTCGGCGCATCGTCCTCTCTTGCGGCCTATTGCCCAATCAACCAGTTGACTCCGCAACTCTGATATCCTTAGCACAATATCCACTCTTCTTGGCCCGATGCCCAAATTCATGGCCCGAAGCCTTCTATCAATATGTCGACCGATCTACCGGCTCGACGTCCAATCTTCTAACATGTTTTCCTCCGGCCCAATATGATTTTTCCTGCTTTAATTATCTCATCCTGATCGAAGCATCTTGCGTCACTCAAAACACAGATTAAATCATAAATACAATCAATTGGTTTCATCATCAAAATATGAGAGTCAATAATCTCTCCCTATTTTATGATGATAACTAATTGATGATGGAGTTAACCCTAACTCCCAGAGTTTAACCAAACTCCCCCTATCAACATATCATATTAACAGAACCTTGAATTCAAGTTGAATTCAAGTCGTTGCAAATTTCATCATGAATATTTGCAATACATCATCATGCATAACATGATCATACTTCTCCTCTATTATCAACAAAAAGGAGAAGTTTCAACTATCAAGTGTTTAAACATACAAGTTCAAATCGTTGCATAAAAAACATAATTTCAAGTTTTATCATCATGTAATTTATAGTTAGAAAATTTAGCAAGTGTTACATCATGCTTAGAACATTCAAGCTATCAAGTTGTAGATATGCAATGTAGTACAATATATAAGCTAGCAAATTTAAAGATGTGCAAGTTGGCATATTTGCTTTTCTTTGCGATGTGCAAGATGACATTTTCTTCTCTTTTGAGAAGTGCAATTATTTTTGCTTCCTTTGAAAAAACGCAAGCTAAAAAAGTGTTACATTATTTTACAACATAGAAGCTAACAATTTGAGATGTTCAAGAAGCAAGTTCTTTCTTCTCTTTTGAGAAGTGCAATTTTTATTTTCTTATTGAAATGTGTGAGCTAGCATCTTTTATCTCCCTCTTTGTTAGTATCAAAAAGAAGGGAAGACCCTTTATATTAATTTTCAGATTATGACAAAAGTAAAGTATCAACCTTATTTTAATATGTTTATGCATCATTATGGTTTCAACTAGAAATATACACAATTTCAAAACCTTACATGTGTATCCTTACTTCATGCATGATACAAATAAATCAATCATCACTATGGGCATATTATACGTGATACTAAGACATTAAAATTTTTAAGCATCAAAACACTATCATGAGTATCTCATGCATTCATATCATCACTTTAGCAACAAATCATAGTATTTCAAATCATGATGGTATCTAAATGTCAAATTACATCCTACCATGCACAATCATAACTTCTCCTGTGTATGCAAAATAATAGTATTTCATGCATAATTTCTATTTAATCACATTCATTTCATCTCATTAAAAAAATTAATTAGATGATGAATACAAATGGTTATATAAAAATAAATCATATCATGAGAGATAAGATCATGTAAATATCAAAAGACATGATTCATATAGTAGATCTCCTCTTTAAATAAAATACTAAGAAAAATTATAGGGGTAAAGAGAAGTGATCTTAATTAGGAAAAATCGCAAGTAATTCGAATAAATCAAGATCATGATTTGAATAAAACTCATTCAAATTCAAATTGTCAAATCAAAATCATTTTAAAGAGATTCATAAAAAGGACATAAATAGATTCAATAATCTCCCATTTTTAGAAAAATGATAGGAGTTCAAAATCAAGATGATGATTCATAAAAAATATCATAAGTTATAATCAAGAGAAAAATCATTATTTATTCTAAATCATTAAACTTGTCAAATCAAAACATGTATTATTGTTTAAAATGAAAGTGCAAGATTTATCATAAAAATTATCAAGATTAATAAATCACAAAAATCATATTGTATAACATTAAAATCTGATGCATAAAATCGTGAATCATGGTATCAAAACATTTAATATTTTTATTACATCATTATGCATCATTAAATATATAATTGTCAACACTTACACAATTTTATATAAGCATGTCTTTTTCATTAATGCCTAATCAAAACATGCATCATTTTTAAAACCGAAAAAATTACTTTCATTATAGTAAAATTGATAATCCATAAATAACCCAAAACTCATCATTACTTCAAATCATCATGCATAATTTCGAAAAATAAATTTATTAGGCATGATCTCAAATTACATTATTTCATCAAGCATGATTTTATATTTTCAATCAAAATTATTTTGTTTGTTCACCATAAAATATGTATTTTTCATGATTATTTTTAAAATCATTAGAAAGGTAAGCATGATCCAATTTTATTTTTGCATTTAAACACGTAATTCAAAAATTATTTAATTTTCTTAAACTAAATTAAAAATAATTCATAAGAAGCATTATATAATTTCAAAATAAACTAAAGGTATTTTGATTACCTCATCGTCGAATGCCATTAAGGTGTAGTTTGCCATCTCGCCTTTGTTGATTTTCTCCTTGTCTTTGGAAGAGCTCGATTCATCCCAATTAAAACATTTGCAATGAGCAAGTGAAGTAAGTAAATCAGTTTGCAATACGAGAATTAAAAGCAGAACAAGAATGCAAACCGATTTATAGTGGTTTGGTCATCGTGACCTACATCCACTCCGTCGATTCCTCTTCCGTCGAGGCCATCGGCATCCACTATCGATCTTCCTTTAATAGGGGAAGATCAACCTCCTTACAGCCCTCTTCTGCTTTTACCAGGTTTATGAGACAACCCTTATAAGCACTCACTCCTCTCTTACAGAATTCTAAACTTAGAGTGAAGGAGGAAATTTCTAAAAAGATTGCAGTAGCGTTTCTTCACTTTTAAACTCTTTGTGCTTTGTTTTTTAACCAGAGATGAGAGAGGTATTTATAGGCTTAAAGTTAATTCAAACTTAGAGCCTAAAAATATCTCATCCCGGGTTTCCCGGGCATGGGCGGTACCATCGCTAGTGTCAGTCTGACACTCGGCGGTACCACCGCTAGGTAGGCTGTGCTGGGCGGTACCACCGCCTAACATAGTCTCGAAGACTGTATCACGACGATGAGACTTCTTGGGGCACTATTTGGGCCTCTTATTGGGCCCAACACAGTCCTTACATAGGCCTAGCTGGCCCCTAAT